ATCCTCTCTACGCCATTGAATCGTTAACACCTCTATGTGAACATCAAAAAATACCCCAAACAATTCGCACCGTATTTCATCAAGATAAACCCATACGTTTGGTCGAACAAGCGCACCTAACGAAAATCGGTCAATGTTCTTGCAATTTATGCGAAAAACGGCACAAATCTTTTTGTGAATGTTTGTGGAAGGAGAATTGTTATGTTCGAAATAAAAGAGCTTTAGAAATCTCTATTTTTAAATGGCAATCATCAAAAAGTGAAGAGAAGGGGGCAACAGTTTGTAATTATAATAACGAAGAGAAATATAAGACAAAACCTTTAAATTTAATGCAAAAATTTCGTCGTGGTTATAGAAAATCTAAACAATTTTGGTGGAAAACTAAGGCAGTAGAAGCTGAAGATACTTTCTCTTGGATTTTGGAACCCAAAGAGAAAATGTTCTCTTCAGAAACGGATTTAAACAGAAAATTGCAAATTAAAACTTTAAGAGAAGAAATTTTAAAGATGATAAAGGAAAAAGAGTTAAAATTGAATGAAGAGCAAAGTAAATGCAAAGATAAGGAGTTGCAAGGTAAAAGCTCTGCTTTAGCCAAGATACAAACCGAAAAGCAGGAAGCTGCCAGCAAAAGCTCTTCAGTTAAAAGTTTAAACAAATCAAATGAAGCACATTTTTTAAATAAAGAAGATAATTTGCAATTTTTGCTATCACCTGCTGAAAATAAAACAAAACTTGCTGCAATAGAGAATAAAGCTCATGTAGACAAAAGCTCTATAGCCAAGGCAGCCAACCAAAGTAAAACAATAAAGGGAAAGCTACAAACAACAAATTCAAGTTTTCTAAAGGAGCCACAAACGTATGTGGAAAGTAAACGACGGACAGAGAATTTACAAACTTCCCAGATAACTGAGCATTTGCTAGAACAAGCAGAGAAGGAAAAAAGCTCTTTATCTAGCTCAAAAACCAAAAATGAGTTTAACACTAGACTAGATAGTTTAGAAAATGTTAAGAAAGATGAAAGCTTTTTATGTAGTACAAAAGCGAAAGCTTTAAAAGCTACAAATATGAAAAGCTGTGACCAGCGAAAAAGCTCTTTAAGTGACATTAAAAATTTTAATAAAAAAGATCGAGATTATCAAAGCTGTTCATCCAAGGGATTGTATAAAACAAATTTCAGAACAAAAACAAAAAGCTTTTTATATAAAAAACGTTCTAAAGAAAAGCTTAATATAAAAGAAAGCTGCCAAGAAGCATCTAAAAGCTCTTTATATAAAATTAATGACAAAAATCAAACAAAAGCTAGTAAAAGTAAACTTAAACAAACAAAAAGCTTTGCTGAAAAGTTATCTAAAGAAAAACAAGTTAATGTTAAAGCTAAATGCTCTAAAGAGACAAAAGCAAACAGACAAGTTAAGAAAGTTAATTCAAAAGCAGATCTTGAAACCAATAAACCTTCTAAAACAGATGTAAAAACCAAATTAACTGATAAAAGCTCCATAACGAACATTCTCTATAAAAGTGAAGATAAATTAAAGCTTAAAAGCTCTCAAACTGTAAATGGAATAGAAGAGAAAAGTAATATTGAAAATTTTCAGCAAAATGAACCAAATTCTCGGGAATGCTTAACTAAATTAAACAAAAGCTCTGCTACAAAATTTCAACCACTAGAGAAGAGTAAAACAAAAAGCTTTTCAAAATCCAGAATGGATATTCCTCTACCACAAACAAATTCAGTTTTAATACATTACATAAGAAATATAACTAAAACTAAAGCTTTTAAAAGCTCTGCTAAAGGGAAAGAAATTAAAACTAAAACTAAACTTCAAGCAAAAAGCTCTGTAGAAACTAATAAAACTTCTCAAAAAATACCAATATCTTTACAAAATGTTGAGCTTAACCAAAGCTCTTTTACAGAGGAACAGATTAAACAGGAAAAGAGAGTACATTTGAAAAGCTTGCGCAATACAATGAAAAGCTCTTTAAAGCAAACAAAAACCCCAGAGGAAAAGAAGGCTAAAATGAAAAGCTTAAGGGAATTTAACATTAGTTTAAACAAGACAAATAAAAGCGTTAAAACTTTAAGTCCCATAACTTCAATAAAGACCTACAATCATTTAATGCAGTCGGTAGTACAGCGATACCCCAAAAATATGAAGCCCAAAATATACACAGAAGAAAATTTAAAAGTTTATGAAGAAAATCCCAATAAAATTAAAGCTTGCCCAGAGAAACCAGTGACCATTGTTGAATTTTATAACAAAATGAATGCTTGCAATGATTTACAATTAAACAGCTCGGATATATTAAAACCAGAATCAAAATTAGAAAAGTTAAGTGAAGAGAAATCTCCGAAATTGCCGATAAGTTCTTTAGAAACTCAAGGTATGAAATCGTCACCTGCTAAAAAGCCTTCTCTTAAGCTTAAACAGAATTCAAAATTCTATACCAGTTCCTGCTATTCAAAAACATTAGATAAATTAACAAATTTAGGAAAACCCAAACCGAGAATACAATTAAATAAAATACAATTTGCATTCGCTAAAGATCCCTTAAAGGTGTTAGAAGATGTGGGCTTTCAAACGTTAAAAACGAAAAGAAGGAAAACTAAAGAGAAAAAGTTGTGACATTGTTGTAAAAGTTCTTCAACATTTAAAATAAAATCATGTTTTGGTAATTTGAAGAGGTCTAAAGTAAAAAGCTTTAAAACTGGAAATATTTTGCGATTAACAATGCAATAAGCAATTATTTAACTAAAAAGCTTTCTAAAAGCTTTTATTAAAAAAAAACATTTTTGAAGTATTTTTTAAAAAGCTTCCTAAAAGTTTTTATTTAAAACGCTTTCTACAAGCTTTTTTAAAAGCTTTCTTTAAAAAGCTTTTTTTAAAAAATCTTTTATTAAAAAGCTTTATAAAAGCTTTTATTCAAAAAGCTTTCTAAAAACTTTTATTCAAAAAGCTTTTATTTAAAAAAAGCTTTCTAAAAGCTTTTATTCAAAAATCTTTTATTTAAAAAAGCTTTCTAAAAGCTTTTATTCAAAAAGCTTTTATTTAAAAAAGCTTTCTAAAAGTTTTTATTCAAAAAAACTTTCTAAAAGCTTTTATTAAAAAAACTTTCTAAAAGCTATTATTCAAAAAAGCTTTTACTAAAAAAAGCTTTCAAAAGCTTCTATTTAAAAAAGCTTTAACTTTTTAAACTTTTCACAAGCTTTTATTTAAAAAACTTTTCATAAGCTTTTATTTAAAATGATTTCTAAAAGCGTCCTAACAATTCTTAACTAAACACTCTATAAGCCTTTCTAAAAGCAATTTTAAGAGCTTTGTAAAAGCTTTTATTTAAAAAATATTTTTTTTAACTAAAAAGGTTTTATCTAAGAAGCTTAATAAAAAATTTTAACTGAAAAGCTTTAAACTTGAAAGCATTGAATTTAAATATCTTTTAAAGTTTAATAAAAGCTCTTAAAATATGTTAACCTTATAAAAGTGTGGTTCAAACAGGCTCATAAAAGCTGTTAACGAAACAAAGCACAAAGAAAGCTTTTAACTAAATAAGTTTTATAAAATTGTTTTACTAAAAAACCCTAAAAGCTTTTTACCAAATAATCTTAAAGCTTCTAAATTATTTTTCAAAAAGTTAAAAGCACATAGTCAAAAAGATTTTTATTCAAAAAGCTTTTTAAGAGCTTTAAACATTTAAATAAAGAGCTTTTTTAAAACTTTAAATAAAAAGCTCTAGAAAAACTTTTCAATAAAAAGCTCTGAAAAAGCTTTGAAGTAGAAAGCTCTAAAAAAGCTTTATAATAAAAAGCTCTATAAAAGCTTTTCCATAAAAAGCTCTGAAAAAGCTTTTTAATAAAAAGCTCTGAAAAAGCTTTTTAATAAAAAGCTCTAGAAAAGCTTTTCAATAAAGTTCTGGAAAAGATCTAGAAAAACTTTTTAATAAAAAGTTCTGGAAAAGCTTTTTAATAAAAGGCTCTAGAAAAGCTTTTTAATAAAAAGATCTAGAAAAACTTTTTAGTAGAACGCTTTTATGAAAGCTTCAGGCTTTAACAATATTTTTAATTGTTCGAATAGATTTGTATAAATTTTCAACATTTCTTTTAATTGTTTTTATTAATAAAATTTTAAAGTTTATTTTTTTCGTAAAAAATGTGTTTTATTTCAAATAATGAAACAAAACAAATACGTCATTTTATAATTAAATTGAATCGTTGCCAAAAAAAAACGAAACAAATTAAATTAATTATAATTAAAATTTTTCAATAAACGACAACATTTGATAATTATCAAGCTGTAGACTAAAAGAGAGGAAAGTTAAAACAATTGATATGCTATAAAATTAAACAAATAAAACAGAAAATTTATTAAAATTATTAGCAAAAACGTGATAGCAGAGAATGATTTGCAATAAAAAGCTAAATAAAATATTTACAACGAAAATTCGATATTTGTTACTGGAAAAGAGAGTAAAATACAAAAACGTGTGAATTAAATGAATTACACCTAAACAAAATCTATTACAGAAAACTTTATCATGAATATAGTTGTTTATTCAATTTGCTCTAGAAATGCTACTTATTTAACATTTTATTATTAATTTCATAACACTTTATGTGTGTATCTATCTAGTTTGTAGAAATGATTATTTTGTAAATGTTTATGCATGACGGAGTTCCATTAAAATTGTCTGATTTGTTATCATGAAAATTTGTGAAATACAATTGTACCCTTAACAGCACAAAGTTAACTATTTAATTGAGGTGACATTTAAATTTCAGCTGTTTTTTCAATTACCCTAATTGTTTATTTTTAACTAGAAAAATCAAAATTTATTTAATAATTAATAAATATTTGTTATAAATTAAAAGGCAATCAATACAGCACTCAAAGGGTACTTGTTCTTATTCTGAAGTAGTTGCAATAAATGAATGCAATTGAAAATTACGTCATTGTTAAGAGGGGTATAGAATAGATAGATAGATAGATAGATATAGATAGATAGTATAGATAGATAGATAGTTAGATAGATAGATAGATAGATAGACAGATAGATAGATTAGATTAGATAGATAGATATGATAGATAGATGGATATCGATAGATAGATAGATAGATAGATAGATAGATAGATAGATAGATAGATAGATAGATAGATATAGATAGATAGATAGATGATGATCGCTCGCTCGCTCGCTCGCTCGCTCGCTCGCTCGCTCGCTCGCTCAGCTCCTCGCCCCTCGCTCGCTCGCTCGCTCGCTCGCTCGCCTCGCCTCGCTCGCTCGCTGCTCGTCGCTCGCTCCTCGCTCGCTCGCTCGATCGCTCGCTCGCTGCGCCTCGCTCGCTCCTCGCTCCTCGCTACGCTCGCTCGCTCGCCGCTCGCTCGCTCGATCGCTGGCTCGCTCGCTCGCTAGCTCGCTCCTCGCTCGCTCATCGCTTCGCTAGATAGATAGATAGATAGATAGATAGATAGATGAGATAGTTAAAAAGCTTTTTAGCAGCTTTAAGCTAAAAAGCTTCTTAGAATCTTTTAAGCTAAAAACTTTTTAGAAGCTTTTTATGTTTTTGAAAACTTTTATCTAAAAACCTATTTTATCAAAAATTCTTTAAAAAACTTTAAAAAGCTTTTATTACCAAAAGCTTTTAATAGTTTTTAACCAAACACTTAACAAATTAAGCCTTAATAGATATCAACTTGTTAACTTTGAAGAAATAAAAGCTCTATAAAAGCTTTTCACTTTAACGCTTTATACAAGTTTTTCACCAACAAGTTTTAAACAAGTTTTTCACCGAAAAAGTTTTATACAAGTTTTTCCCCAAAGAACTTAATAAAAAATTTTCATAAAAGTTTTTCACCAAAAAGTATTATAAAAGCTTTTATCTCTAAATCTTTATAAAAGCTTTTGAAAATGCTTTTGTCTAAAAAAGGTTTATAATAGCTTTTAAACAAAAAGCTTTACACTAAAAAGCTTTTCATCAAAAAGCTTTATCAAAGCTTTCCATAAAGAAGCTTTCCATAAGAAGCTTTTCACTTAAAAGCTTTATTAAAGCTTTCTACTAAAAAGCTTTCAACCAAATTGCTTTCAGTAATAAAAAAACTTTATAAAAGTTTTTACAAAGAAGCTTTTAACAAAAAAGCTTCTAACCAACTACATATAAGTTGCTTTAGAATTAAGGTTTTCTTGTGTTTCAAATAAAGAAAAAAGTGAAAATATCCGCTTTTGCTTTTATAGCTTTCCTATAGTGATCTCCATGAAATGGTAATAAAAATTATTCCTGTTTTACTATTGCCTATTGTTTTATTAGCATTTGCCATTGATTTGCTGCTTTTATTCGAATATCTGATAATGATGACTCAAACTTCTAGCTTCTTCTTAGCAAATTTTTGTTATTTTTGTTTTTATATTTTATCACCTATTGATTTTTTTTTTTTTTGTTGGTATGTTTGGACTAATTTTATTTATTTAAACAAAAAGTTGCACCCACATATTTTTTCCATTTTTTTTTTGGTGTTCTGGCTTTTAGTTTTTCTAATGCTAATGAAGTTTTTTGGGGGGCTATTAGAACTGCATACAAATGAATGTGTGTGTGTTTAAAGGGTAAGAGCTTTTTAAGCTTTTAGTTTATTTAGGCTTTAGGTTTTTTTTGTATTTAATCAAATAAATTAATAGTTTATTTTATAATAAATGTCTAGTTGGCATGACTTCTATGGCGTGTCAAATAAGGCGTCAAGGTCAATTTTGTAAAGGGGATTAAGTCGGAATAATATAGAAATTGATTGTAATCAAAAGATTATGAAAATAAGGGAAAGAGTAAAGCTATTAAGAATATTGTTTTAAAATTGAGTTGGTTTTATAAAAAAAAAAAAGGAGTAACTTTGCTGTTAGTTATTGCTTTTTGTGGCAACCTTTTCATATATAGTTCTGATTATACTGAAAGGTATTTATGTTTTCTAATATTAACGAAAATTTCATCTAAATATTGTAATTAGTTTTAAAGTTAAAGAGTTTTTAAAGTTTAGTCTTACTTTAGAAAAGATTTTCACTTACAGACAACTAAACGTATGATTGTTATTTCAACACTCATACGCTAAGCTGGTTTTTCAAAGAAAATTATAAATATGGTGAAAAATATGGTTTATGTTACTTACTTATTAGTCATATCCATAACATCCGACATCATTAGACGATATTTCTTGCGAAATTTAATGCCATGTTTTGTCTCCAACAAATATTTATTACAAAAATCCGTCAATGAAATGAAATAGATGAAACCCAAGGAGGTTAAGAATAAACCACGTTGCATAGATATACGATCCGTGGTATTGGGTATTTGAAAAAGGCTGCCCAGGGCCAAACTTATAGAACCAATCGAGCAGGCTAACGAAACATAACAGCGATTTGTACGCAATTGTTGTTTAAAACCACCCGAAGCCACCATGTTTTGTTGTTGCTGTCGTTGTTGCTGTTGTTTTCCTGTTAAATGTTATTGTCGTAATAAAAACGTGTGGTGTTAGCGTGGAGAGCGACAAACAGACCGACAGACGTAGAGAGAGGAAGTTTTCGTAGGAAGTGTTACAGTGTATTCTTGGAGTTTCTTTTTCTTTAGAGTGTGTTTTTGTTTTCTGGTGTAGTTGTTTTCTTGTTATTGTTTTCTCGTTAACAGCTGTTATTAATCAAAAGTCTAATAACAAACTGTTGCTTTGTTTTTCGGGCCCGTAATGTATTGAAAACTTGTGGAGGGGTTAATTTTATAGGATTAATTTTGTTTAATACTTTTTTCCAGCATAATTAACACATTATGTTTTTGTAAATGACCATAGGCCCTTTAATGCTAAAACGAAAGAAACAAAAATTTGCCTTAAAAACACTTTTCCAAAACTGTTTTTAATAAAAACTCCTATAAAAGTTTTTTTCTTATTTATTGAAAACACTTTTTAGTTAATTTTCATTATTTTTCATTTAATTTTTAATTATTTTCTTATTTTTCTTTTATTTTTTCTTCTTCTTTTATTAAAAATATTCCTTTTTGTTGTTATTTTCGTATGTATACACCGTGCGTGCTTTAGCTTTGAGTCTTAAACTTACACTGATAAAGTGGTTACACCCCTTATCAGAAAATACTGTGCATTTTGCAAATAACACACAACCTTCATAAACCCAAAATATTATTAAAAAAGCAAAAGCAATGTTAACAATTAAGCGGTTTTATCTTAAAAAAAAAAAACGCAAAAACTTCAGTTTTAGTTAAATTTTAGTTTAATTTTTTTAGTTGAGTTTTCGATCAGTTCTACTTCAGTTCTAGTTTACTTCTAGTTCTAGTTCAGTTCTAAATCTGTTCTAAATCAGTTCTAGTACAGTTCTAATTCTGTTCTAGTTCAGTTCTAGTTTAGTTCTAGTTCAGTTCTAGTTCAGTTCTAGTTCAGTTCTAGTTCAGTTCTAGTTCAGTTCTAGTTCAGTTCTAGTTCAGTTCTAGTTCAGTTCTAGTTCAGTTCTAGTTCAGTTCTAATTCTGTTCTAAATCAGTTCTAATTCTGTTCTAAATCAGTTCTAGTTCAGTTCTAAATCAATTCTAGTTCAGTTCTAGTTCTGTTCTAGTTCTGCTCTAGTTCTGTTCTAGTAATGTTCTAGTTCTGTTCTAGTTCTGTTATAGTTATGTTCTAGTTCTGTTCTAGTTCTGTTCTAGTTCAGTTCTAGTTCTGTTCTAGTTCCGTTCTAGTTCTGTTCTAGTTCTGTTCTAGTTCTGTTCTAGTTCTGTTCTAGTTCTGTTCTAACTCTGTTCTAGTTCAGTTCTAATTCAGTTCTAGTTCAGTTCTAGTTCAGTTCTAGTTCAGTTCTAGTTCAGTTCTAGTTCAGTTCTAGTTCAGTTCTAGTTCAGTTCTAGTTCAGTTCTAGTTCAGTTCTAGTTCAGTTCTAGTTCAGTTCTAGTTCAGTTCTAGTTCAGTTCTAGTTCTGTTCTAGTTCTGTTCTAGTTCTGTTCTAGTTCTGTTCTAGTTCAGCTCTAGTTCAGCTCTAGTTCAGTTCTAGTTCTGTTCTAGTTCTGTTCTAGTTCTGTTCTAGTTCTGTTCTAGTTCTGTTCTAGTTCTGTTCTAGTTCTGTTCTAGTTCTGTTCTAGTTCTGTTCTAGTTCTGTTCTAGTTCTGTTCTAGTTCTGTTCTTGTTCTAGTTCTAGTTCTGTTCTAGTTCAGTTCTAGTTCTGTTCTAGTCCTGTTCTAGTTCAGTTCTAGTTCAGTTCTAGTTCAGTTCTAGTTCAGTTCTAGTTCAGTTCTAGTTCAGTTCTAGTTCAGTTCTAGTTCAGTTCTAGTTCAGTTCTAGTTCTGTTCTAGTTCAGTTCTAGTTCAGTTCTAGTTCAGTTCTAGTTCACTTCTAGTTTAGTACTAGTTCAGTAGTTCTAGTTCAGTTCTAGTTCTAGTTCAGTTCTAGTTCAGTTCTAGTTCAGTTCTAGTTCAGTTCTAGTTCAGTTCTAGTTCAGTTCTAGTTCAGTTCTAGTTCAGTTCTAGTTCAGTTCTAGTTCAGTTCTAGTTCAGTTCTAGATCAGTTCTAGTTCAGTTCTAGTTCTAGTCCAGTTCTAGTTCAGTTCTAGTTCAGTTCTAGTTCAGTTCTAGTTCAGTTCTAGTTCAGTTCTAGTTCAGTTCTAGTTCAGTTCTAGTTCATTTCTAGTTCAGTTCTAGTTCAGTTCTATATCAGTTCTAGTTCAGTTCTAATTCTGTTCTAAATCAGTTCTAGTTCAGTTCTAGTTTAGTTCTAGTTCAGTTCTAATTCTGTTCTAAATCAGTTCTAGTTCAGTTCTAGTTCAGTTCTAGTTCAGTTCTAGTTCAGTTCTAATTCTGTTCTAAATCAGTTCTAGGTCAGTTCTAGTTTAGTTCAAGTTCACTTCTAGTTCAGTTCTAATTATGTTCTAAATCAGTTCTAGTTCAGTTCAGTTCAATTCTAGTTCAGTTCTAGTTCAGTTCTAGTTCAGTTCTAGTACAGTTCTAGTTCAGTTCTAGTTCAGCTCTAGTTCAGCTCTAGTTCTGTTCTAGTTCTGTTCTATTTCTGTTCTATTTCTGTTCTATTTCTGTTCTAGTTCTGTTCTAGTTCTGTTCTAGTTCTGTTCTAGTTCTGTTCTAGTTCTGTTCTAGTTCTGTTCTAGTTCTGTTCTAGTTCTGTTCTAGTTCTGTTCTAGTTCTGTTCTAGTTCTGTTCTAGTTCTGTTCTAGTTCTGTTCGAGTTCTGTTCGAGTTCTGTTCGAGTTCTGTTCTAGTTCTGTTCTAGTTCTGTTCTAGTTCTGTTCTAGATCTGTACTAGTTCTGTTCTAGTTCTGTTCTAGTTCTGTTCTAGTTCTGTTCTAGTTCTGTTCTAGTTCTGTTCTAGTTCTGTTCTAGTTCTGTTCTAGTTCTGTTCTAGTTCTGTTCTAGTTCTGTTCTAGTTCTGTTCTTGTTCTGTTCTAGTTCTGTTCTAGTTCTGTTCTAGTTCTGTTCTAGTTCTGTTCTAGTTCTGTTCTAGTTCTGTTCTAGTTCTGTTCTAGTTCTGTTCTAGTTCTGTTCTAGTTCTGTTCTAGTTCTGTTCTAGTTCTGTTCTAGTTGTGTTCTAGTTCTGTTCTAGTTCTGTTCTAGTTCTGTTCTAGTTCTGTTCTAGTTCTGTTCTAGTTCTGTTCTAGTTCTGTTCTAGTTCTGTTCTAGTTCTGTTCTAGTTCTGTTCTAGTTCTGTTCTAGTTCTGTTCTAGTTCTGCTCTAGATCTGTTCTAGTTCTGTTCTGGTTCTGTTCTGGTTCTGTTCTAGTTCTGTTCTAGTTCAGTACTAGTTCAGTTCTAGTTCTGTTCTAGTTCTGTTCTAGTTCAGTACTAGTTCAGTAATAATTTTTGCGCTTTTACCTCCTCTTTTATTTCTTTAAATTGTCATCATTGAGATTTATATTATAACGACACACAAACAACACCTTTAACTCTCTTCTATACTGGATGTTAAAAGTTGTGTGAAGGCGCAAAAGTACTTGAAATATAAAAACATTTGCACTCTCCATTATAAAGCCTTGTTACCTCTCTTTTTCACTCATACACACTCCTTCTAAAGAGCTCTCTCGCTATTACTTTGACAGTTACTTTTTTACAGTTAATAACTTTAAAAAGCAAGAAAGAGAGTAGAGTAAGGGAAGGGGGTATTAAAAGCTTTTTATTTATCACTTTTATAGATATTTAATTGTCTAAATTAACAATTGTTAATAATAAATTTTTGTATTTCAATAAACAAAATATTAATAAAACCTTATCTATGTATGTTGTATTAAATAAAAACCTAAAACAATTTGTAATTTAGTGTAAAAATATTATAACAGTTAAAGGCGACTGCATATAGTAAGTAAAAAACACAGACGGCGATAAGATAAGCCTTTTTTTTACAATAATAATTTTTTTATATATTTGCTCCATAAAATTATTTAATAAAAAATATTTGTAAAAAAACAGCAGAAAGCTTAAAAAGACAGAAAGACAGCGAATAAGAGAGTGAGAGAGCGAGAGTGAGGAAGAGCTAAATTATCACATTATCAGCACGTGTTAGCGAGTTTGAAAGAAATTATTTAATTTAACAAAGCAAAGCTTAGAAATCAGAATTGTAGGAAAAAAACAACAGTGCATTAATATAACGATAACCCCAAAATGATAGCTGTGAATACAGTGGGCTTAAAAATGTAAAAAAAAAATGCTAATAAACTTAGAAAAGTTTTCGAAATTTAATGTGAAAAGCCATAAAATTTTGAAATTTTATATATTTAAAGCTTATTTGAGCGATTTTTTTCGAAATTAAGTTCAAAAAATTCGAAAATCGTTTTAACGCTTTAAGATACAAAATTTTAGCTTAAAACTTACTTTAATAAAAAAAATTACGAATTTTTGCAACTTTTTGCTTCATTTTTGAATTTTCGAAATTATGTTCGAAAACTTCGAAATTCGTTATAAAGCTTAAAAATACTAAATTTAAGGCTAAAACAGCTTTTTATTGATAAATTAAGAATTTTTGCAATATTCTAGCCATTTCAAGCATTTTTGTTATTTTTGAAATTAAGTTCGAAAAATTCGAAATTCGATTTAAGGCTTAAAATCAACGAATTTGAACTTATAAATACATTTTATAATAAAACTAAGAATTTTTGCAACATTCCCGTCATTTCGAGTATTTTTGGGAATTTTCGATATTAAGTTCGAAAAATTCGATATTTGAAAGATTATAAATTACCAAATTTCAGCCTAAAAATTCTTAAAACAATAAACTTTAGCTATTGTGAAACATTTCTAGTAATTTCAATCATTTTTGGAATTTTCGAAATTAAGTTCGAAAAATTCGAAATTCGATTTTAGGCTTAAAATCAGTAAATTTCAACTTTAAATACATTTTACAATAAATGCAGCTTATTTTATCAACATTTCCCGTCATTTGAAACATTTTTGGAATTTTCGAAAATAAGTTCGAAAAATTCGAAATTCGATTTAACACTTAAAAATATTAGATTTTGGCTTAAAATTGTTTTTTATAATGAAATTTCGAGTTTTTGCAAATTTTTAGCTCATTTTGGAATTTTCGAAAATAAGTTCGAAAAATTCGAAATTCGATTTAACACTTAAAAATACTAGATTTTAGTCTAAAACTGATTTTTATAACGAAATTGCGAATTTTTGCATAATTTTAGCTCATTTTGGAAATTTCGAAATTAAGTTCGAAAAATTCGAAATTCAATTTAACACTATAAAATACTAGATTTTAGCTTGGAATAGCTTTTTATAATAAAATTTAAATTTTTTGCAATATTTTGGCTCATTTTGGAATTTTCGAAATTAAGTTCGAAAAATTCGAAATACGATTTAAGACTTCAAATCTCAAAATTTAAACTTAAAAACATTTTTTATAACAAATCTAAGATATTTTACAATATTTTAGAAATTACTTGAACATGTTATTGAAAGACTTGCATCATCTTATTTAAATTTAATAAATTATATATCAATTGTACAACAATAACAACAATAAAAGCATTTCTAACAAGAAAACAATCGCCATCAATTGTTTTTTAATAAGAAAAGAAAAAAAATTCAACAATTTAGTCATCTACATCTCGAAACAATAATTTGTATCTATTGCAAAAAAAAAACCAACATCAAATACTAACACACGAGTTATTCATTAGATAATTGATAAAATATTGCAAAAAGCTAAGAAAACAAAATAAATTATTACTTGCTGCTTATAAAATCTTTAGACAATTTCAATTTAAGTAAAATAAATTTCAAAACAAAACTTTTCATTTCATATAACATTGAAAATTAAACATTTAAGGGGTTTTTTTCGTAAATGACCCCTTTTGAACAACAACAAATTACATAGAATAATAATAAACAACAAATATTCAATGACAAAGCAAAAACAACTACACTGTTTGAAAAAAAATAAAAAAAAAACCAAAGCAAACACCAACACATTTGAGCAGAAGTGTACTTGCTCCGAGAGCAAATTAGTGGGAGTAAAATAAAAGTGTAAAAGTGAAAAATGACAATAACAACAATACACAAGAAAAAATAAAAAAAAAAACACAGAAAAGTGTCATCGAGATATAATGTTGCCAAATGTGTTGTAAAATTGGCGTTTTCGTTACAGCTTTCTTTTGTAAAAAGAATTGCTTCAGATGAACAGCTAAAAACATTTAAGTTTGTTTAGTATCTAAGCTTTAAATCGGTTTTCAACATAATCTAGAGAAAATATTTATCATATGTCTTTCATTTAGCTCTTATCTATCTTCAAACTATCGTTCATCCATTAGCAAACTATCTCTATCTATAATCTATCTATCTCTAAAATATCTCTCTTCTATCATATGTATGCATATGTATCTCTCATTTACGTCTCAAAAATTACTCATATATCTCTTATTTATTTCACATTAATATTTCATCTCGATCTCTTCTATCTCTTATCTATTTACTACATAAGTCTCATCTATCCCATATCTAATTAATAACATACATCTCTCATCTTAATCTCATTTATTTTTCATATAATTTCAATCAAAATCTCACTTATCTCTCATGTATCGCCCATCTATGTTTCTATATGTCTTATCTAACTCCTATCTATCCCTCATATATACCTCAACTATTTCTCATCTAGCCTCCATCTATCTCACTTCTATCTTTCATCTATATCTCATTTATCGCCCATCTTTTCCTAATCTTCATATTTCTCATCTAGCGTCCATCTATCTTCTTCTCTCATTTATCCCTCAACTATTAGCTATCTATCATATCTCTATGTCTCATCTATCTTTTATATATCCCTCATCTGTTTCTCATCTAGAATCCATCTATCTCTAATTTATCACCCATCTACATATATATCATCAATCTCTTATTTATATCTCACCTATCAGCTATCTCTCATTTGTCTCTAATTTATCTTCCTCTTATTCTTCATATATCTCTCATTTTACTATCATATATCTCAACCTATCCCTCATCTATCTGCCATCTTACTCACAAATATCTTTCCTTTACCTTCCATTTATCTCTCATTTAGCACTTATTAATTTCTCATCTAACTGTCATCTACCTGTCGTCTATCATACATCTCTCTTCTAATTTCATGCATCCATTCGAGAGAGCGAGCGAGAGAGCGAGCGAGAGAGGAGCGAGCGAGCGAGCGAGCGAGCGAGCGAGCGAGACGAGCGAGAGAGAGCGAGCGAGGAGCGAGCGAGCGAGAGAGCGAGCGAGAGCGAGCGAGCGAGCGAGCGAGCGAGCGAGCGAGCGAGCGAGCGAGCGAGCGAGCGAGCGAGCGAGCGAGCGAGCGAGCGAGCGAGCGAGCGAGCGAGGCGAGCGAGCGCGCGAGCGAGCGAGCGAGCGAGCGAGCGAGCGAGCGAGCGAGGAGCGAGCGAGCGAGCGAGCGAGCGAGCGAGCGAGCGAGCGAGCGAGCGAGACGAGCGAGCGAGCGAGCGAGCGAGAGCGAGCGAGCGAGCGAGCGAGCGAGCGAGCGAGCGAGAGCGAGCGAGCGAGCGAGCGAGCGAGCGAGCGAGCGAGCGAGCGAGCGAGCGAGCGCGAGCGCGAGCGAGCGAGCGAGCGAGCGAGCGAGCGAGCGAGCGAGCGAGCGAGCGAGAGAGCGAGGAGCGAGCGAGCGAGCGAGCGAGCGAGCGAGCGAGCGAGCGAGCGAGCGAGCGAGCGAGCAGCGAGCGAGCGAGGAGCGAGCGAGCGAGCGAGCGAGCGAGCGAGCGAGCGAGCGAGCGAGAGCGAGCGGGAGCGAGAGAGAGAGCGAGCGAGCGAGCGAGCGAGCGAGCGAGCGAGCGAGCGAGCGAGCGAGCGAGAGAGCGAGGCGAGCGAGCGAGCGAGAGAGGGAGCGAGAGAGCAAGCGAGCGAGCGAGCGAGCGAGCGAGCGAGAGAGCGAGCGAGCGAGCGAGCGAGCGAGCGAGCGAGCGAGCGAGCGAGCGAGCGAGAGAGCGAGCGAGCGAGAGAGAGAGCGAGCGAGCGAGCGAGCGAGCGAGCGAGCGAGCGAGCGAGCGAGCGAGCGAGCGAGCGAGCGAGCGAGCGAGCGAGCGAGCGAGCGAGCGAGAGAGCGAGAGCGAGAGAGCGAGAGCGCGAGCGAGCGAGCGAGAGCGAGCGAGCGAGCGAGCGAGCGAGCGAGCGAGCGAGAGAGAGCGAGCGAGCGAGCGAGCGAGCGAGCGAGCGAGCGAGCGAGAGAGCGAGCGAGCGAGCGAGCGAGCGAGCGAGCGAGCGAGCGAGCGAGCGAGCGAGCGAGCGAGCGAGCGAGCGAGCGAGCGAGCGAGCGAGCGAGCGAGCGAGCGAGCGAGCGAGCGAGCGAGCGAGCGAGCGAGAGCGGGCGAGCGGGCGAGCGAGCGGAGCGAGCGAGCGAGCGAGCGAGCGAGCGAGCGAGCGAGCGAGCGAGCGAGCGAGCGAGCGAGCGAGCGAGCTAGCGATCTACTAGCGATCGAGCTACACGAGATCTACGGCGAGCGACTCGATCAGCGGAGCAGCGAGCGAGCTAGCTAGCATGCGAGCGAGCGATCGAGAATCTAGCGCTAGCCGAGCTATCTAGCTAGCGAGCGATCTAGGAGCTATCTAGCAGATCGAGCGAGCTATCGATCTACGCTAGCGATCGAGCTAGCTAGCTAGCTACTAGCTAGCGCGGCGATCTATCTATCTAGCTATCTATCAGCGATAGCTATCTAGCAGGGCTATCGAGCGAGCTAGCTATCTATCGATCAGCTACTACCGAGCTAGGCTTCGAGCGAGTCAACGATCTAGCTACTCTCGATCTATATCGATCTATCTATCTATGAGCTCTAATCTATCTATTATCTATCTCTAGATCTATCTATCTACATCATCTTCGATCTACTATCTATCTAATAATCTACTATCTTATCCTATCTATCTATCTATCTATCTATCTATCTATCTATCTATCTATCTATCTATCTATCTATCTATCTATCTATCTATCTATCTATCTATCTATCTATTAACGATTTATTAGCGATTTTTTCTTCATAATTGTCGTTTTTTCAGCAGCTTAAGTGACAACACTTTTTGAACACACTTTATTGTGCGGGTGCAAAGGGGGAACCGTAACATACCCAGAGAGAATTGATAAAATCAACATTAAAATTATGATAAAAAGCATAAAACATAACAACAAAACCAAAAAACTAATTGCAACAAACATTGTTTATTACTATTACAAGAACAAAATGAATGACATTAACCAAAAAATAAAGACGAAAAAAGTAGGTCAAAAGCGGCATTTGTAATAAAAAAAACAACATATTGTACAAGAAAAAACTATAAGTATTTCAAGGGAAAAGAAACCGAGTTAACTAATAAAATAAATTGGGTAATAATAATAATTTGTATAAAATAGTAGAAGAATTTTAATAAAGTAATAGTAAAAATATCACATGACTTCTTTTGAGAAAATTAAATTTACTTGAAATAAAAAAAAAGTAATAAAATACAAAAACAACTTGTTTAATAATATTAAAAAACAATTACACCCAAACACTAAACAGCTATGATGATGGAGCACAGTAACTAAAACAACAACAACAACACTAAAGAATCCAGTGATCGACCGAACGACCGGTTATGTCATGCATTTTTCTGCTTTATAAAATTTTTGGGGCTACAAAAAAAATCTTAAGAAAAACATTTTTATGAGGCAATCTTTGCAAAAATCACTGAAGAATATTGTTATGATTTAGTTATTAACTAATAAATTGTAACACACTTTTGCTTTTGTTTCTTTTTTATTAGCTTTTTGTTATAACTTCTGGCTAATTTTTGCTCTGTTTTTTATGTTTCTGTAAAATTTTTAATTATTTGTAAATTTTTATTTGTTTAAAACTCAAAGCTTTGCCGGCGCAATAAATTATTAAATGATTCATTGGAATTTTGATTATTTGCCATTTTTAAAACACAATAACAACAACAACACTTTGCTAAACACAAATTTGTTTATTATTTGTTTGTTTTAAATATTCATTAGTTTAAGTTTGTTGTATTTATTTTTTCTAGTTTTCTTTAATTTATTACAAAACAAAAATTTTATTCACCCTAACAAATAACAAGTGACTAATCTGCACTCACTCGATTTTAAAGAACAACTGTTTTTTTTCTAATGGCAGCCAGCCGAGAGAGCTAAAGAAGAATATCTATAGAAGCGAAACTTTGGCTAAAAAAACACTTTATAAAATTCCCTGAAACACACCTACACGAGTTGTTTTTGTTTTCTTAAGGTAATTTTTACCAACACTTTCTTATTTACAAACTTTTTGACATTTGTTTGGCAAAGTTTCGCTTCTATGTATTTCATCTTATGACAGCAATTTGGTGGTAATGTAGCGGGTTTTCTCACTATTGTAGAGATTTAATAAACAATTTAGCGGTTGGAAAAGCTACTTAATACTCAATTCTAGCGATTTTTTTCTGTACAATACAAAGAAACGCCAACGTAACGTTACAAAACGTTTAAAATTGGTAAATAGGTTTAATAAAAGAAAAACTGTTATACGATTAAAAACTGTTATACAGAAAACTTTCTACATAAAGAAAATGTTTAATTTCATTCTGTTTTCCCTAAAGAAAACTGTTATACGTCAAAGATTTTAAAACTATTATTGAAAAAAAACTATTATATAGAAAATGTTCTACCAAAAAACTGTTATAAGGGAATTTCTTAAAGAAAACTGTTATACTGAATATATTCTTAAGATACTCTTATACTAAACTATTAATTAGACAATTGTTTTGTAGACATTGCTGTTGTCATTAGACTTTTCTATAGAAAAATTGTTATACTAAAGATTATCTACACAAAAAGTTGTTATACTGAAAGCTTTCCATTGGAAAACAGTTATACTCAGAATTTTTTATGGAAAAAACTGTTATATTGAAAATTTTCAAAAGAAAACTATTATACTAAAAGTGTTCTGTAGATAAAATATTTTTTTTAGAAAAAAAAACTGTTATACTGAAGATTAAAAAGCTATTAAATTTAGAACACTGCGAATATTCTACGGAAAAAGTGAAAGAGAATTTTCTATAGAAAACTGTTATACAGATTTGTTTTAAACTTTTATACTAAAATATTTAATTTCTATTGCAAACAAATTAAGAATTTTCTATAGAAAACTGTTATACTGTAAGTGTTTTAAAGATAAAATTGTTATGATGAACACTTTCGTAAAAAATCTTGAGAAAAAACTGTTATACACAAAATTTTATAAAATTTTCTTTACAAAAAACTGTTATACAAAAATTTCAATGGAAAAGCTGTTATACTGTATAATTTCTATAACTTTCTTTTGAAACAAAACTGTTATACAAACAATATTTTGTATAAAAAAGTGTTATACTGTAATTTTTGAACGGGAAAAACTATTATACTGTAAATATTTGTATATAAAAATTTTTGGAAAACTGTTATACGAATTTTTTAGAGAAAAAAAACTTAAACAGAATGTTTTCTTAAATTTCCATTGAAAAAAAGTTATATTGAAAATTTACTTCGAAGAAAACTGTTATACTGAAATTTTGAATTGAAGAAACTCTACGAAAATGATGAACTAAGAATAAATTTCGTAATTATAAGCAATTCAGCTACAGCAAAATGGAAATCTGTAATGAAAATTACAATTCAGCTAAACTTTTCTTTGAGAAAATTCCATTTTCCTTTAATTCAGCTGTCTTATAAGGAATTCAGCAAATGTATAATGTTATATTAAGAATTCAGCTAAAATATGTTGAGATTAAATGATTTTTGTAACAAAAATTGTAATTCAGCTACTTTCAAAACAATTCAGCAGAATACAAATTTATTAAATTTAAAGATTTTAGTGTTTTTATTGCAAATTTATACAAAAATTTGTAATTCAGCTACTAAAAATGCTATTCAGCTAACTTAAAAGAAGTAATTTAGTTATTATAAGCAATTCAGCTACTTAAAATGCTATTCAGCTATCTTTAAAGAAGTAATTTAGTTATTTGAAACAATTCAGCTACTTAAAATGCAATTCAGCTGTTTCAAATTTAGCCTATATTATAAAATATGATCAGATTTGTGAAATTTTTTAACAAAGATTGTAATTCAGCTACTTTTCAAGCAATTCAGCTGAAGAAAAATTCATTAAATTTACAGATTTTTGTGTTTTTATTATAAATTTATAGAAACATTTTCTATTCAGCTGTTAACAATGCTATTCAGCAGACTTTAAAGAATGTATTTCTTTATTATAAGCTTTAAAGTGGTATAAAATGCAAATCAACGACTAATATTACAATTCAGCTAGACTTTTCTTAAGTAAAATTTCACATTCTTTTAAAATAGTTACTTTATTAGCAATTCAGCTGGTTTATTAGCAATTCAGCAGAAGAAAACTTAAGAAATTTATGAAATTCAGTTGCAAAAATAGCAATTCAGCTGATGAAAAAATGAAAAATAAATAGATTTATAGTTTTCTGTTTAAAAAATTGCAATTCAGCTGCTTTTAAAGCAATTCAGCCGAAGAGAAATTTTTAAAACTTAAAGATTTCAGTATTTTTATTATAAATTTATGTACAAACTTTCAATTCAGCTTTTAAAAATGCTATTCAGCAAGCTTTAAAGGATGAATTTCTTTTTGTTTATAATACACTTTATTGCTTAAATATATTCAAAATAAAGAAAAACTTCTATTTGGAATTGTATCCTTATTTCTTAAACTATCTAAAGTAATGGGAGATATACATTCTCCCGCCGTCCACTGACATTCACTATCATAAATAGTTTTCTCTTTTAGAGCAAAAACCAGGCCTGCATCTTGACGACACAGCAAATAATCATCCTGTCTAAAAATCAAACGATTATCATCCACCAGTTCCAGTGACCAAAGGAAATTTTTCAATTCTCTTCTGCGGGTACTGTTGGCACCAATTTTATCACCATACTCCGGTAATCTATGAAAATATCCCTGGAAATTTTTACCTCTTAAGGCCACATTCAAATCGGATAAATTATCTTCTTCAGTTTCCTCGAATATGATCTCCAAGGGACTCATAAATGCAGCATTAATTCTATCCCATTTAGTGCTTAACACCTGATTTATATCACCATTGAGTTTATGAGCCGCCGTAGAATGGATTACCTCGAAGTAGTGATCATTACTGAGGCACAGTTCGGAGTGACCAAATAGATATTGCAAAGAAGAGGGTAGACTTTTTAGGGTAACATTCAGCAAATGTTGGGTATTGCCGGGGAGTCGTGTGAAAAAGACATCATTTTTTATTCGATAGAAGCAATGCGATGCCAATAAAACATAATACGGTTCTTGCATCTGATCCAATCTATAACGCCAATATAAAGCCAATTGGGCTCGAGTCATGCTGATAAAACTTTTTACATCATATTTCAAATAGATTTTCCACAGTAATTTCACTAAATCTGGTGCCGAAATTTGTTCATACATCTTACTCAAAGCTTTATTATATACAGTTTGCACATCCGCCAGGGGTTCCTGCTGTTCATTTAATGCTTGGACCAATTCTTCATTCAGAATAATGCTGGTATAGTCTTTAAATTTATTTTCCCACTTAAAGGGACTGTTCGAATAGTGTAGTAATAAGATATTTTGTATATAATTTTGTGTAAAAACATTTTCAATTTGTTTAAATATGAACACTTGCAAAAGTAAAAATTTGAATAATTTTAAAACCTGCATGTTTATGTTAGACGTGTTAAAAATATACTAAATTTAGAATGGCATTCTTTCATTTGGGACATTTTTTTGAATGCGACCTTAAGGGGTCACTAATCAAAATTTTGATTATTTTTTTGTTTAAATAAACAAATTATCAAATATTTGTTGTTATAAAATTATTTGCAAAAAATAACAGATTGTATTTCTTGGAGTAAAATATATTATATGCTTTTGCGAAAAGTTATTGGGGGAATTTACAAAATATTATGAGGAAGCCTTAGATCTAAATTAAACATTTGAGAATAATTATCTCTAGTACGTTAGTCTCTCAAGAGAATTTTCTATAAAAATGCATTTGCGATGAGATCATCAAAATTTAATCCCAGCGAGAAATGTGTCTAGAATGTAGACTGGATAATAGACCAGTTTAAGATTCCGACTATAGCGGACTAGTCTAGTCTATAGTCTGGACTATAAACTAGTCTATTGTCTGAACTATAATCTAGTCCATAGTATGGTCTATAGTCTGGACTATAATCTAGTCTATAGTCTGCATTATAGTCTAGTCTATAGTCTGCACTATAGTCTATAGCCTGGACTATAATCTGGACCATACTCTAGTCTACAGTCTGGACTATAGTCTAGTCTATAGTCTGGACTATAGTCTAGTCTATAGTCTGCACTATAGTCTAGTCCATAGCCTGGATTATAGTCTAGTCTATAACCTGGATTATAGTTTAGTCTATAGTCTGTACTATAGTCAAGTCTATAGTCTAGGCTATAGTCTGGACGATAGTCTAGTCTATAGTCTGGACTATAGTCTAGTCTATAGTCTGGTCTATAGTCTAGTCTATAGTCTAGGCTATAGTCTGGACGATAGTCTAGTCTATAGTCTAGTCTATAGTCTGGACTATAGTCTAGTCTATAGTCTGGACTATAGTCTAGTCTATAGTCTGGACTATAGTCTAGTCTATAGTCTGGACGATAGTCTAGTCTATAGTCTGGACTATAGTCTAGTCTATAGTCTGGACTATAGTCTAGTCTATAGTCTAGTCTATAGTCTAGTCTATAGTCTAGTCTATAGTCTAGTCTATAGTCTAGTCTATAGTCTAGTCTATAGTCTAGTCTATAGTCTAGTCTATAGTCTAGTCTATAGTCTAGTCTATAGTCTAGTCTATAGTCTAGTCTATAGTCTAGTCTAGTCTATAGTCTAGTCTATAGTCTAGTCTATAGTCTAGTCTATAGTCTAGTCTATAGTCTAGTCTATAGTCTAGTCTATAGTCTAGTCTATAGTCTAGTCTATAGTCTATAGTCTAGTCTATAGTCTAGTCTATAGTCTAGTCTATAGTCTAGTCTATAGTCTAGTCTATAGTCTAGTCTATAGTCTAGTCTATAGTCTAGTCTATAGTCTAGTCCTATAGTCTAGTCTATAGTCTAGTCTATAGTCTAGTCTATAGTCTAGTCTATAGTCTAGTCTATAGTCTAGTCTATAGTCTAGTCTATAGTCTAGTCTATAGTCTAGTCTATAGTCTAGTCTATAGTCTAGTCTATAGTCTAGTCTATAGTCTAGTCTATAGTCTAGTCTATAGTCTAGTCTATAGTCTAGTCTATAGTCTAGTCTATAGTCTAGTCTATAGTCTAGTCTATAGTCTAGTCTATAGTCTAGTCTATAGTCTAGTCTATAGTCTAGTCTATAGTCTAGTCTATAGTCTAGTCTATAGTCTAGTCTATAGTCTAGTCTATAGTCTAGTCTATAATCTAGTCTATAGTCTAGTCTATAGTCTAGTCTATAGTCTAGTCTATAGTCTAGTCTATAGTCTAGTCTATAGTTTAGTCAATAGTCTAGTCTATAGTCTAGTCTATAGTCTAGTCTATAGTCTAGTCTATAGTCTAGTCTATAGTCTAGTCTATAGTCTAGTCTATAGTCTAGTCTATAGTCTAGTCTATAGTCTAGTCTATAGTCTAGCCTATAGTCTAGCCTATAGTCTAGTCTATAGTCTTATATAATTATAATTAGGAAATTTCTTCTTTAAAGCTTTCTGAATAGCATTTTTAATAGCTGCATGGAAACTGTTTATATAAATTTATAATAAAATCCTTAAAAACTTTATATTTAATAGAATTTTCTTTAGCTGAATTATGCTTTGAGTAGCTGAATTTAAATTTTAGCAGCTTAATTATAATTGTTGTTAAAATGTTAAATATATTTTATCATATTTTACAATATATAACAGATTTGAGCCAGCTGAATTGACTTTGAAGTAGCTGAATTGCTTAAAATTACAAAATTTCTTTTTTAAAGTTTGCTGAATAGCACTTTTAATAGCTGAATAGAAATTTTTTACCTTAACTTATAATATAACCATTAAAATATTTAAATTGAATGGAGTTTTCTTCAGCTGAATTGCCGTAAATGTAGCTGAATTTAATTATTAGCAGCTGAATTAGAATTTTCAAATAGCTAAATGACTTTAAATAAGTCTGTGGCATAAACCGCTATTTAGTTTGTCTTCCAAAATGCGAAATTCTTTTTTTTATAAAAAGCTATTGCACTTTAATATCACATAGATTGAGATAATTCGTAAAGAGTTTCTTGAATGATTTTTTTCTATTTTCTAAAGGGGGTCTTGAAGTTATTACAAAGGAAACATATCAGCTAAAGATTCAGCAATGGAACTATCACGGAAGCGGCCTATGCGCAAAGCATACGAGATGGCATGGGCTACGTAAGATTGTTCATGAACGCCGTGGAAGAGATAAGACATGGCGCCTGGAAAGTAAAATAATGAAAGACGATTAAAAAGAAAAGCCCTTCCAGTGGCTGTAAGATTTTTCACTTACCCGCTGAATGTATGGTTACATCACTGCCACCATGATAATTTTCATCGGTATTTACCGCGCCCTGTTGCGTATACTCCCAATCGGTGGTATCCTGCAGAGTGGGATCTTTTCTTAAACCATTAGCATCTGGCTGGAAACCCTTATAGGTAGTGCCATAGGTCAAAGTAGTATAGGGAGTTCCTTCAGTCTTGGATTTGCCAGCAACACCCAAAATATCGGCACCTTTGGGAGCATGACCATTAATGGTTAAGGTGTGAGCATGATCAGCAGTGACTATAACCAAAGTATCTTCCAATTTATCACCCAAATATTGAACACTAGCATTGATGGCCTCATTGAAAGCTAAAACCTCATTTAAGGCTTTACGGGCGGTACCCCTATGATGGGCCTGATCAATCATGCCACCCTCTACCACCAATAGAAAACGTTCATCTTTAGTTTTGAAAAATTCCAAGGCTTTCAAAACCATTTGTTTAAGAGAAGGCATGCCGGCGGGGGTGGTATCACGTTCAAAGTCAAATTTCAAATGACCATTGGCAAAAATACCCAATATATAGTCCACTTCCGAGGGATTAATGGCTTCCAGTTCGCCCGTATTTTGGGCCACTACATGAGGCTGATCACGTTGAGCTTTAATGTTAGACCATTCTTGTATTAAATCACGACCATCGTTAGACTTACAGGCCCAAGTATCGATGGGATCTAGAGGTGTATCCGAGACATTGGAAACCAACATTTGACGACCACCACCCATTATGACATTAATGCTTTGACCCGTCAAATCTTCTATCAACTGACGTGCAATATCTTTACAACCCTCATTATGGGCTTCGGCCGGCATTTTTTGTTCACATTCCCAGCGACGATCGGGGGTATGAGCATATAAAGCGGCCGGAGTGGCATGGGTAACTCTAGTATTGGTAACAAAACCCGTTAACATGCCATCATCTTGAGCCCATTTTAATATAGAATTAACCTGATGATCCACATTCAAAGAAGCCGAACAATTGCCCAAATTAACGCTGGCATCCACACCACCTGTCTCGTAATTAACCTTAACACCCGAGAATAAAGCAGTGGCGGTGGAAAAGGAGTCGGGAACTTGCTTATTAGCGCAATAGGTCTGAAAATGTTCTACTATTACAGAGCTATACAAATCTTGTTTATTACACCATTAAACTTACCTTTAACAAACCCATATCGGGAAATTCTTCCCAGGACATTAAACCCTCCTCGGAGAAGCCCATTATCCTAGCAGCTGTTACCGTATTCGGACCCATACCATCGCCCACAAACAATATAACATTTTTAGCTCTTCTCTTATTACGTTTACGATTCAAAGCCTTTTGCAACTCCAAGGTGCCGCGTTCAAACCATTCCTGTTGGGCCTCTGGCAGACTCATTACCAAGGCACTAGCCTCTTCCATTAAACCATTAATCGGATGATTAGCATTAATGGTATGATGTATAACAAAACCCACTGTCATGACCACCAGCAGAATGGCCGAGAATGATACGGCTATTATAAAGATTTTGGATTTATATACAGGTTTCTTCTTCAGCTTAAAGTCACTGCTGCTACAGCCTTGACTATAGCTATCCATTTCCACAGTACTGTTGGATTCCGTTATTCGCTTGCGATCTGTCATTTTGTTTTATATTTCCCTTCTAAAGTCTAGAGTGTTTAAAAGTTTTCCGAACACTAACTACTTAGTCCAGTAAATTTTTTTAAAACAATATTTCTTTCTAAAATAAGATAAGAATTTTGTTAGAGAAATTTACACAAAGCGCAACAGTTGTACATATATCATTATTTGTTTCAATTTGAAAGAAATGTACTTTATCTTTATGATGTTTTGACTATATAACTGATGATATCTCTCGTCTTTTTAAATAAAAAATTTAGATTCTAAATTTGTTAAAATTGATAGCATGTTAAAGATTACTTAAGTTATTTATAATTAAGTAAAATTTTTTTATTTGTACTTAAAAATCAACAAATTTATAAAGCTGTTAAATAGCTCTTCCAAGTCTTGTTCGGTATATTTGAGTTTACTAGACAAGTGGGCTATAGTCTAGAATATAGACTAGTCTATAGTCCACAATATATACTAGACTGTAGTATACAATATGTACTAGACGATAGTCTCGACTATAGCCTAGACTATGGTCCAGACTACGGATTGTAGTCGAGACTATATACTAATTAATAGTTCAGCTATAGACTAATAGATCGGGCAATAGACTAACTGATAGTCCGGACTATAGACCAAACTATAGTCCAGTATATAGAATAAACTGTAACACAGGCTATACACTAGACTATAGTTCCGATTATAGACTAGATTGGATTACATTCAAGACTATTTATCAGACTATAGATTAAACTATAGAATAGACTATAGACTAGATTATAGACTTGACTATAGATTAGAATATATACTAGACTATAGCTTAGACTATAGACTAAACTATAGTCCAGACTATAGACTCAACTATAGTCCCGACTATAGACTCAACTATAGTCCCGACTATAGTCTAGTCTATAGTAAAGTCTATAGTTTAGTCTAGGCTATAGTCTAGTCTATGGTCTAGTTTATAGTCTAGTTTATAGTCTAGTTTATAGTCTAGTCTATACTTTAGTCTATACTCTAGTCTATAGTCTAGTCTATAGTCTAGTATATAGTCTAGTATATAGTATACTCTGTAGTCTCGTCTATAGTTTAGTCTATAGTTTAGTCTATAGTCTAGTCTATAGTCTAGTCTATAGTCTAGTCTATAGTCTAGTCTATAGTCTAGTCTATAGTCTAGTCTAGTCTAGTAGTCTATTCTATAGTCTAGTCTATAGTCTATAGTCTAGTATAGTCTAGTCTATAGTCTAGTCTATAGTCTAGTCTATAGTCTAGTCTATAGTCTAGTCTATAGTCTAGTCTATAGTATAGTCTATAGTCTAGTCTATAGTATAGTCTATAGTCTAGTCTATAGTCTAGTTTATAGTCTAGTCTAGTGTATATTCTAGTTTATAGTCTAGTCTATAGTCTAGTCTATATTCTGGTTTATAGTCTAGTCTATAGTATAGTCTAAATTCTAGTCTATAGTCTAGTCTATAGTCTTGTCTATAGTCTAGTCTATAGTCTAGTCTATAGTCTTGTCTATAGTCTAGTCTATAGTATAGTCTATAATCTAGTCTATAGTCTAGTATATTGTCTAGCCTATAGTCTAGTCTATAGTCTAGTCTATAGTCAAGTCTATAGTCTATTCTATAGTCTAGTCTATAGTCTGGTCTTTAGTCTAGTCTATAGTCTAATCTATAGTCTAGTCTATAGTCTAGTCTATAGTCTAGTCTATAGTCTAGTCTATAGTCTAGTCTATAGTCTAGTCTATAGTCTAGTCTATAGTCCAGTCTATAGTCTAATCTATAGTCTAGTCTATAGTCCAGTCTATAGTCTAATCTATAGTCTAGTCTTTAGTCTAGTATTTTCTAGTTCTAGTTAGGTCTGAGAGAGAGAGAGAGCTGTGATAAAACTAAAACAAATCCACCAATGTTTCCACTCTTTCCATAAACTTGACCTATTTATGGCTTAAAAATCAATAAAATTTATTAACACAATAAAGTTAAATTCTCCTTTAAACAATTGAAACAAAAAACGATAAATAATTCATTAAATATTTATTAATGATTGACAACATTACACTTTCACACTGATTAATTAATCTCAAATCTTTTGCTTTTTAAATTTTTAAGTAATTAAGCACGTGTTAAAACACTTAAATACTTTGTTAAACAATTTACTTTATCATTTACACAAAAATTAAAAAAAGTACAGAAATCACTAATGCAATTAACAAGAAAAAGAACTTCCGTACCATTTAAGCGTGTGTAATTTCAAACTCCAGCAAAAGCAAACTGAACTCTTAAAGCACTTTCAACTCTTTAAAACTCTAGTAAAAACAAACAATCAAAAAACTCGTAATCTCTTTTTAACCGCCACAAACAAAAAAAACATTAACTGTATTATCTCACGTTATGACTGTTATAAACTAAAGTAAATTTTGTAAAAAAAAAGTTTAAAAAACGTTAAGTATAGCGAATAATTGTTTTCAACAAATTATTTGATTTAATAATGAATGAAATCGGTGTGCAAATCAATATGGTGGATTTTATAGAAGTTCCCTTAAATAACAAAATTTAAGAGTTCGAAAGACCACTTGAGTGGCTTTAACAACAATTTTTTTTTAAATATAAATTTTGCACTGTTTCTTTTCTTCTTTAAATAATTTAGCTGACGCGTTATTAAATCTAATCAAATGTTTGTTTTATTGAGTTTCATTATAACAAAAAAAAAAAAAAAAATAAATAAAAATAACTAAATGAATGAGATAAAACAAAGCAAATTGTGTGTTAGTGGAAAAAATCAATAATTAAGTGATACCTTTGGGCTACGTTTTATTTGAGAATCGAGAGGAGTTAGACGAATTTTGTATGACCTATAGTCTGCACAGCATAAAGTCTGGACTATAGTCTCGACTATAGACTGAATATAATCTCGGATATAGACTGACTATAGACTAACTATAGTCTCGACTATAGACTGATTATAGTCTTGACTATAGACTGACTATAATCTCGACTATAGACTGACTATAGTCTCGACTATAGACTGACTATAGTCTCTACTATAGACTGACTATAGTCTCTACTATAGACTGACTATTGTCTCGACAATACACTTACTGTAGTCTCGACTATAGACTGACTAAATTCTCGACTATAGACCGACTAAATTCTCGACTATAGACTGACTATAGTCTCGACTATAGACTGACTATAGTCTCGACTATAGACTGACTATAGTCTCGACTATAGACTGACTATAGTCTCGACTATAGACTGACTATAGTCTCGACTATAGACTGACTATAGTCTCGACTATAGAACGACTATAGTAACGACTATAGACAGACTATAGACTGACTATAGTCTCGACTATAGACTGAATATAGTCACGGCTATAGACTGACTATAGTCTGGACTATAGACTGACTGTAGTCTCAACTATAGACTGACCATAGTCTCGACTATAGACTGACTATAGTCTCGACTATAGACTGACTATAGTCTCTACTATAGAATGACTATAGTCTCGACTATAGACTGACTACAGTCTTGACTATAGACTGACTATAGTCTCGACTATAGACTGACTATAGTCTCGACTATAGACTGACTATAGTCTCGACTATAGACTTACTATAGTCTCGACTATAGACTTACTATAGTCTCGACTATAGACTGACTATAGTCTCGACTATAGACTGACTATAGTCTCTACTATAGAATGACTATAGTCTCGACTATAGACTGACTACAGTCTTGACTATAGACTGACTATAGTCTCGACTATAGACTGACTATAGTCTCGACTATAGAACGACTATAGTATCGACTATAGACAGACTATAGACTGACTATAGTCTCGACTATAGACTGAATATAGTCACGGCTATAGACTGACTATAGTCTGGACTATAGACTGACTGTAGTCTCAACTATAGACTGACCATAGTCTCGACTATAGACTGACTATAGTCTCGACTATAGACTTACTATAGTCTCGACTATAGACTGACTATAGTCTCTACTATAGAATGACTATAGTCTCGACTATAGACTGACTATAGTCTCGACTATAGACTGACTATAGTCTCGACTATAGACTGACTATAGTCTCGACTATAGACTTACTATAGTCTCGACTATAGACTGACTATAGTCTCGACTATAGACTGACTACAGTCTTTACTATAGACTGACTATAGTCTCGACTATAGACTGACTATAGTCTCGACTATAGACTGACTATAGTCTCGACTATAGACCGACTATAGTCTCGACTATAGAATCACTATAGTCTCGACTATAGACTGACTATAGTCTCGACTATATACTGACTATAGCCTCGGCTATAGACTGACTATAGTATCGGCTAAAGACTGACTATAGTCTAGACTAGTCTAGACTGTAGTCTCGACTATAGACTGACTATAGTCTCGATTATAGACTCACTATAGCCTCGACTATAGACTTACTACAGTCTCGACTATAGACTGACTATAGTCTCGACAGTAGACTGACTATAGTCTCGACTATAGACTGACATTAGTCTCGACTATAGAATGACTAAAAACTGACTATAGTTTCGACTATATACAGACTATAGTCTCGACTATAGACTGACTATAGTCTCGACTATAGACTGATTATACTATAGACTGACTATATCCTCGACTACAGACTGACTATAGTCTCGACTATAGACTGATTATAGTCTCGACTATAGACTGACTATAGTCTCGACTATAGACTCACTATAGCCTCGACTATAGATTGACTATTGACAGAGTATAGTCTAGACTATAGACTGACCACAGACTGACTATAGTCTCGACTATAGACTGACTATAGACTGACTATAGACTGACTATATATTGACTCGACTATAGACTGACTATAGTCTCGACTATATACTGACTACAGTCTCGGCTATAGACTGACTATAGTCTCGACTATAGACTGACTATTGTCTCGACTATAGACTGACTATAGTCTCGACTATAGACTGAACATAGTCTCGACTATATACTGACTATAGTCTCGACTATAGACTGTCTAGATAGTCTAGTCTATAGTTAAGTCTATAGTCTAGTCTAGTCTATAGTCTAGTCTATAGTCTAGTCTATAGTCTAGTCTATAGTCTAGTCTATAGTCTAGTCTAGTCTATAGTCTAGTCTATAGTCTAGTCTATAGTCTAGTCTATAGTCTAGTCTATAGTCTAGTCTATAGTCTAGTCTATAGTCTAGTCTATAGTCTAGTCTATAGTCTAGTCTATAGTCTAGTCTATAGTCTAGTCTATAGTCTAGTCTATAGTCTAGTCTATAGTCTAGTCTATAGTCTAGTCTATAGTCTAGTCTATAGTCTAGTCTATAGTCTAGTCATAGTCTAGTCTATAGTCCTAGTCTATAGTCTAGTCTATAGTCTAGTCTATAGTCTAGTCTATAGTCTAGTCTATAGTCTAGTCTATAGTCTAGTCTATAGTCTAGTCTATAGTCTAGTCTATAGTCTAGTCTATAGTCTAGTCTATAGTCTAGTCTATAGTCTAGTCTATAGTCTAGTCTATAGTCTAGTCTATAGTCTAGTCTATAGTCCTAGTCTATAGTCTAGTCTATAGTCTAGTCTATAGTCTAGTCTATAGTCTAGTCTATAGTCTAGTCTATAGTCTAGTCTATAGTCCTAGTCTATAGTCTAGTCTATAGGTCTAGTCTATAGTCTAGTCTATAGTCTAGTCTATAGTCTAGTCTATAGTCTAGTCTATAGTCTAGTCTATAGTTCTAGTCTATAGTCTAGTCTATAGACTAGTCTATAGTCTAGTCTATAGTCTAGTCTATAGTCTAGTCTATAGTCTAGTCTATAGATCTAGTCTATAGTCTAGTCTATAGTCTAGTCTATAGCTAGTCTATAGTCTAGGTCTATAGTCTAGTCTATAGTCTAGTCTATAGTCTAGTCTATAGTCTAGTCTATAGTCCTATAGTCTAGTCTATAGTCTAGTCTATAGTCTAGTCTATAGTCTAGTCTTTAGTCTAGTCTATAGTCTAGTCTATAGTCTAGTCTATAGTCTAGTCTATAGTCTAGTCTATAGTCTAGTCTATAGTCTAGTCTATAGTCTAGTCTATAGTCTAGTCTATAGTCTAGTCTAGTCTATAGTCTAGTCTATAGTCTAGTCTATAGTCTAGTCTATAGTCTAGTCTATAGTCTAGTCTATAGTCTAGTCTATAGTCTAGTCTATAGTCTAGTCTATAGTCTAGTCTATAGTCTAGTCTATAGTCTAGTCTATAGCCTAGTCTATAGTCTAGTCTATAGTCTAGTCTATAGCCTAGTCTATAGTCTAGTCTATAGTCTAGTCTATAGCCTAGTCTATAGTCTAGTCTATAGTTTAGTCTAGTCTAAAGTTTAGTCTATAGTCTAGTCTATAGCCTAGTCTATAGTCTAGTCTATAGTTTAGTCTATAGTCTAGTCTATAGTCTAGTCTATAGTCTAGTCTATAGTTTAGTCTATAGTCTAGTATATAGCCTACTCTATAGTTTAGTCTAGTCTAAAGTTTAGTATATAGCCTAGTCTATAGTCTAGTCTATAGTCTAGTCTATAGTCTAGTCTATAGTCTAGTCTATAGTCTAGTCTATAGTCTAGTCTATAGTCTAGTCTATAGTCTAGTCTATAGTTTAGTCTATAGTCTAGTATATAGCCTACTCTATAGTTTAGTCTAGTCTAAAGTTTAGTCTATAGTCTAGTCTATAGCCTAGTCTATAGTCTAGTCTATAGTCTAGTCTATAGTCTAGTCTATAGTCTAGTCTATAGTCTAGTCTATAGTTTAGTCTATAGTCTAGTATATAGCCTACTCTATAGTTTAGTCTAGTCTAAAGTTTAGTCTATAGTCTAGTCTATAGCCTAGTCTATAGTCTAGTCTATAGTCTAGTCTATAGCCTAGTCTATAGTCTAGTCTATAGTGTAGTCTATAGCCTAGTCTATAGTCTAGTCTATAGTTTAGTCTATAGTCTAGTCCAGAGGAGCTCAATATTGCCATTACATAGCACGCGTGATAGGGTAAGAAAATTCTGCTGACGCTAAGTTGGTACACATACACTATAGGTTTAATTCTTCTTCTTTTTATAATGAGCAATATCAGTTGGTTTTCTCTCAACTTGAAAAACAAAATCAAATCAGTTGCTGATCAGCACTTGTCGAAGCGAGGTCTCTGCGCGACGTTTTTCAAATACACACAGAAATACAACAACAAAATTTTGAGAAAGCCGAATTAATGTAGGAGAACATGAGAGAACAGTTGACAGTTTTTTATATATAGACTTTGATATACGCTGGCTGTCAAAATCCGTAATAAATATTTGACAGTTAGCATATAC